TATTTAATTTTGTCTATGGCATGATGGCCTTGTTATGTTTTGTGAGTATGATAGATACCATGCAGAGCATATTTGCTCAGAATACCATCAAAGTAAAAGAAAAGTCAATTATAATCTATGTGCTGTTCGGCTAATGAAAACTTATCTCTCTGATTCCCACAAGATGGCAGGAATGCAAGCAATTAAATCAGACAGAGAATTAAATTTGGACAAGAGGAGGTAGAATAAAAGACATTCTTGTGAACACATGTGTCTAAAAACTAATGAAAAGTGTACTTTGCTTTTGTAGATTGTGAACTCAATTAATTTAGCAAATCTAAATGTATCTAAGTTTCAAAGCAGGATTATTTCATATGGTCACGAAATCGCAGTCTTGGAAGAAGTAGACATACTTTGCATATTTGTTTGCTTCTCTCCCTAAAAAGTGGGAAACATAAGGGAATATGCAAGTGAATTTTGCTCATCAAGCTTGATAGGAATGGCAGATTTTTCCATTTTCAGCTCTGATATAATTCATTGTTTCTAATTCACCACGACAAGAGCAGATTTGAAGTGGAAATTTATAGCCCCCACCATGCATATCATTTTACAGTTCGTTCAAATGGTTGCCTGTTTGATGTGTAAAACTATAGATGAATTTTGTTCCAATTTCCAGCACTAGAACAAATTCAGGATGTTTGTTAGCCTTGACAACTGGGGAGAAAAATACAACTTATTGCTATTATACTTTAGAATATTACAATTGCTTCCCTGGATCACAAGATGATCCATATAGTCTAATATTCTGTTCCAGTCTAAGCTAGCCAGATGCCTTTAGAGTTTCATAAATAGAGCCACAAGGTCTGCCTTGTTGTTTAACTTCGCCATCTGCTATCCAATAATATACTATCTCTGAATACAGAGTTGCTATACAGTTATCACAGTAAGCAGCTGCTTCATTTATAAATCCTAGCTTATATATCCTCAGTGAATATTGGAAATCCTTTTTGTAAAGATATTTGATTTATGGCATGGAATTCATGCTAGTGATAATTTGTTTGAAGGTATTCCTATGGGATATTATGAGAGGTGTAGAAAACTAATAATTAGGGATGGGAAAATCTAATAATAAAAAAAATCTGCCTTTTTTTCTTCTCATTCCATTTCATTGATCATCACTTTGCAAGCTTCCAAAATACACACAACTTCATTTACATTTTTAATTCCTTCATATATATATATATATATATATGTTTTCTGAGGTTTTTGCGGGTGTTTGTATGTAGGTCTTTGGTTGTTCGGGTTTTCTCCCACGTAAAATTGGAAGTGTCTTGGCGACGTTTCGATGAAGTCCCATTCGTCATCTTCAGGCTGGTGCTGGGAGAAGAATAGGACATCCCCCCACACACAACACGACCAAATGGCTCCTGTTAATTTTTCTTTGCTCTGTTTCCTTTTTTTGTTCCCCTGATTATGAGGTGCTCTTCTTTTTCATGTGTGTTCAGTAATAAGTCATTAAAACAGATGGTCATATCTTCTGCAAAGGAATTGAAATAAATTTCCCTAAAATATACTTTTCTCCTATTCTTTTCAATTAATACAGAAATTGCACAAGGCATTTACGATGACAAGATGAACTGTGACTTTTTTAGCTTCACTGTAGGCCATTAACTTGATTGAACATGAAATATGAAATTTAATCTACCATTCAATAAATTGTATCATATATATTTATAGTCCTACTACAAAAATACTACCATTGCATTACTCAAGATGCAAAAAAATATTCTGAGAAAGGTATAAAGATTAGTATCAAAAAGTCTTTTCTGTTTGTTTGTTTGTTTATTCATGTATTTGTGAAACTTGTTGGATTAACATTTCACAAGGTTTGACCCACAGGCTCTAACAATTTACGTACACATTACGTGGGGAACTTTAACTCTTGTGTTATTGCCTGTTCATAAATGAGTGACACAGAGCTGATTTGAGCTCCTGATTGTATTTTCTTAAGCAGACACATGGAATTGCACTTTGGTAGCATAGATCTGGAATTAATACTGTCATGTCTGGTCAGTCCCATGCGCCATAATTGGATAAGAAGGGAATACATATAATTTAAACATTTGTAATATACACTTTTTCATTTGGCTGCTTGTAACTATGAAGGAGGTTAAAAAAGAAAAACGATATATAAGGATGATCTTAGTCAGCTATGAAATCCTTCCTTCCTTCCTTCCTTCCTTCCTTCCTTCCTTCCTTCCTTCCTTCCTTCCTTCCTTCCTTCCTTCCTTCCTTCCTTCCCTGCTTCATTCCTTTTTCCAAAATCTGGAGCTTGCAGAAGGAGGGCGGATGAAGAAGAGGTGTGATGTTTGTGAGAAAAGCACATGTTTTATATATTAAAAGAAAAACCCTAGAAAACAATAATGTATTAATTAATCAGAATTGCTTACTGAAATGTTTACTGTTTAAAAATCCTTACAAATGTGCCTACATACAAAATGTGGATTATAAAATGTAATTCTTCCTGAGGAAGAAATATTTTAAATAGGAGCTTGAAAAAAATTGCAAATATTACAAAATGTGATAAGGTAATTATAATGCATAACTTGTCTATTATAATAGAGTCACTTGTTGAGATGGACAAGTAGAAATAAAATTAAAATAAAATAAAACAAATAACACTAAGGGATTTCTTTTTCTTCATCCTTTTCTTTTCTACTTTAGCCAATCAAGATTAAATTAAAAATGCATTAAAATTCATTGAAAAGGTTAGAAAAAAATCTTTTCATTCAATAATATTTTCCTAAATGACACTAGCAACTCACACACAAATAGCAAAATTCTACATGTGGGAAGATAACCATTGTTATCAACAGGTAAAAAAAGTAATAATCACATTTTGTAATACAGTGTTTTTCACAGACTTTCATCAGTGAATAAACAGAAATGCTGTCATCCCTAAGGAGATTTCTCCACTAAGGGTATCTACGAAATTCGTTAGCAAGAAATCAAAATGGTAGCTCTGATGGTTTGATTGAAGCTCCTCTTGTCTTTTATGTGTGTTTTTTTAATTATCTGTGTGGTTACTAGGCATCAAAAACAACTCGACAGTACACAATCAATCAATCAATTATTGTCCATAGGCAGATCTAGTAACTAGGTTCTCACAGGCCCTCTTATTGGATCTCTTTGAACATATATTATTAATGTATAATAAATTAAGCTTCCCAAATGATTTATTTATAAGCCATATCAACCATTGCAAATGAAAGCACTGAAAACAAAATTCTGGTGATTCAGAGCAGCTGAAGAATTTATGGTCTTATTGGGTTAGCACATAGGAAGAGTCTGGCTGAGTAGGCTTCTAAAGTGGAAGTGTGGTCTGCCCAATTTCTGACAGACCTGTCGCAGCTTGGATATTTAGGATGGAAAAACCCTCGACTCCATTTGTAATGAAAAATATATTTTTACTAAAGCCAAGTGGTTAAAGTGTAGGAAAAGCCAGATATGAAGATTCCTGCACAAAGGTGATATTTTCCCCTTCTCCTGAGTCCTCCCCCTTGGTCATCTTGCTATTGTCCACTAAAGTTCAAATTGGTTGTTTTGTTAACAGTCCTAAGTAGGTGCCTCTTTGGTGGACATTTGCATGCCATTCCCATGCCAGTGTCTTTGAATCATTTAACTATTGTCTCTGGTTGGCACTTCTAGTTTCTGTTATTCCCCCCTACCTGTATTCTCCTTCTCTCCTCCCCACATTTTATAGCAGGCTGCCATCCAAGCAAAGCAGGGCTGAAGTGGTATGATGGCACATTTCCTTTCTATTTTGGCATCCTTTCTATAGGGCAGTGCATGGAAATAGTCTTGTAGGGAGGGAAGCAAATTCTTTCTCTCTCTCTTCAAGGACTTCGCCCACAGGACCAAAGTGATGGTTGTTTAGGAGAGAGAGGGAAGAACAACTAAGCAGATTCCTATAGCAGTTGTTGCTTACCTTAAGAATACTATTTTTCAAATATTTTATAGTTGGTATATACCAGGGGTAGGCAACCTTGGCTCTGTTATGACTCGTGGACTTTGACTCCCAGAATTCCTGAGCCAGCCATGCTGGGAGTTGGTCCACAAGTCATAAAAGAGCCAAGGTTGCCTACCCCTGGTATATACCAAAATTAATGTTTTTGGAACTGTTCTTGATAGTTAATCATGATCACATCATGGTTACATTAATTATGTATAGCAATCTAATAAGTCAGATGGAAAAAATGCACCAATACCAACCATTTGAAGAGACTGGACAGCCATATGTTTGAAATGGTATAGGGCAGGGGTAGGCAACCCAAAACACTCAAAGAGCCACTTGAACCCGTTTCCCACCAAAAACAAAACACCGGGAGCCGCAAAACCCTTTTGATATCTAAAATGAAGATAACACTGCATATATCCTTTTTTATCTTTATTATATGTGTGTGTGTGTGTGTGTGTGTGTGAGAGAGAGAGAGAGAGAGTGTTTGTGTATGTGTATGTGTATACACACACACACACACACACACACACACACACATTAAAAATAAAAGTAAAAATATGACTCTTGGGAATATCCATACTATTAAAACAATGATCACCGAGAGAATGCTTTAAGAGAATAAAATTACATACACACACAGGTAAAAAAAGGATATATGCAGTGTTATCTTCATTTTAGATGTCAAAAGGGTCTCTCTCTCTCTGTCTCTCTCCCTCCCTCCCTCTCTGCCCTTGGTCTGCCACTCCTCTTCCCTGACTCTCTTTCTTTCTCTCTCTTTCCTCTCTCTCTCCCCCTCCCTCTCTCTCTCTCTTTCTCTCTCTCTCTTTCTCCCCCCCCATCTGCTGCTCACCTGGCAAGCTTCAAGTTGTTCTCCAACAATCTCAGGGGTAGGCAACCTCGTGTCTTTTATGACTCATGGACTTCAACTCCCAGAATTCCCGAGTCAGCCTAGCTGGGCTAGCTAGCTCTCTCCTGCCCTTCCTGCTTCCTGCAGAGACGCAGCAAAGGGAGGAGCTCCGCCCAGAAAGCTTTTCAGCTCCTCGGAGAACAATGTGAGTGCACTCTCTTTTACACATATACACACACACAGAGAGAGAGAGAGAGAGAGAGAGAGACAGAGAGAGAAGCAGGGAAGCGCAATTGCCTCTCTCTGTCTCTGTCTCTCTCTGCAAAGGCAGAGGAGGCTGGGAGCCACAGGGGAAGGCTCAAAGAGCCGCATGCGGCTCCGGAGCCGCAGGTTGCCGACCTGTGGTATAGGGTCTCCTGCTTGAGCAGGGGGTTGAAGACCTCCAAGATCCTTTCCAACTCTGGGGTTTTTTTGGTGGTTGTTATTCTGTTTGCTCTGGTGACAGAGTAGGATTTAATAATTGAAGATATGCAATTCTGTAACTATAGGTCAAGTTTCATATAATCTGGTATGCTTTATAACTGCTTGCCTTAAACTGATGAGTAGGAGAGGAGTTCAATTTTTTTCTATAATCACTCCAATATTATGCTTTTTCTACAAACATCATCCCTCTTCTTCACATACCCTCTCTCTTGCAAGCTCCAGACTATCAAAGGATGGATGGATGCATGGATGGATGGGTGGGAGGGAGGGAAGAAGGGAGAGAGGGAGAGAGAGAGAGAGGGGGAGGGAAGGCTTCTAATTTGCAAATAAAGCCAAAAGGCACAAGATGTGGGAAGAAAAATAAACACACACAATCTTTGAAAATCTTTGTTCCATTCAGTCACAAGAATTTCCTATTTCCTCCCCAAAACAAACAAACAAAAAAATAAAACAAAAACAAAAAGGGAGGTTTGCTGCTGTTCATAGAATACCTGTTCCTGCCAAAGAGAATGGGAATGTACATTATGGTTATGTTTTTAAAATGGCAGTATATAACTTTTTGTTTTGGCAAACTTTTCAGAAAGAACCCAGTTTTAAAATACTTATTTCAATACACTATTTGTACTCTTGGAATTCTGTCTCCTTCCCATACTATGTCCTTCCATCACCATCTTTGCCTGTATTTCACATACTTCTCTGTGTTAAATGAAGACTTATCCGAGCCATCAAAAAGCAGTATAGAGACATCATAATAAGTAATACATGAATAGAATGAACTACACTTGTTAGATGCATCGGGCTTTGTCAGGTTTCTCCTCTCATTAAAATCTCACATAGAATATATAATAGGGCAGTAAGATGAATTGTGAATGCAATTAGCAGACATAATTAGTGGAAAGCAGTCGAAACCAAGTTGGACTACTTTATGAGATCTTATTTATATGATGATGATGGTGATGATGATAACTTTTTGATTAAATACTTTTCATATAAAATGGATATGGTGCCCGCTTGTATAAAAGCTTTCCAACAGCCAGAACTCCTGCAGGTGGGAAATGCAAATCATTTAAAGCTAATGGCTTTTAAAAAGCAGAAATTACTTTACTGAAACTGCTACATGTAGAGTTTCTGAATTTCATCAAATTATACCTTTTCATGAAACACGCTGCTATGCAATAATAAACTAATTGTTCCAGCCAGAAAGGAAACCACAGGAGGACAACCTTATTGCTTGTCAAAGTTACAGTTTAGGTTCCATATCTCATATATTGTTCAGCCAAAGTCTTTAATGTTTTCATGATCTGGCCAAATTAGGCCTCCATGGGCTCTGAAATCCAATATGTAGACTGTTACAGAACAAGCTGTGTTAATTATTTTTCTTCATCTAACTAACAGGAACTAATTGCCCCTTGCAAATTAAAATTAGTGATATAAGAATCATGTCGGAAGTTTGGAATCAGATTCAGAAGTCATGCCATGTTTCCATTGCACAGTGACACAATTCCAATTGCAGTTAGGAACAATAAAGCTTAAATTATTTAAAACTTACATTCTTTTTCTTTCTTGGTGACCACCAGATGGCCATATTTCCTGAGAATGTTTGCCTTTAACCAAATCATGGCTGACTTGATTTAATCACTAAACACTAAAGGCTGAACACACCAAACTCTTTTAATCTCAATTAGAATATCCTGGATACTTTGTCAAATGTATTGCTGAAATCACGATCTAAAGGAAATTCTGAACTGTACTGTTGACTTTTTTTTCGCTTTTGTTTTAGTTCCAACAGTTTTAGATCTAATCGACACGTTTTCCAGGATTATCTGTTAATAACTAGATTTTTCAATTCTTTAAGGTAATATTTGTGTTATTTATTATCGTCTTTGTCTTGAGTTAGATTCTTTTTGACTGTCATTGATTTTTCCAAGCATCGGAGTCTTTTTCAAAGACTTTTGGTTCCGCATTGTGTCCAAAATATTTAATTTTTGTTGTTTCCAATTGAGGTGTGGTGGTTCAGTGGCTTAATGATACTGGAGATGATTTCAGCTTCAATAGTTTGAGTCCTAGCACTCACCTCATCTTCTGTCCACCTAACAGTTCAAAAGTATGTTCTATGCAAGTAGATAGATAGGTACCACTTTGATAAAGAGATGAGCTGGTGCTCTGTGCAGGCAGTTAGATTTCTGACAGCTCTGAACTTTCCTGGTTGTGCTGCCCATTTATGGAAAGGAAGGGAAGGATGATGCTGCAGGAAGAGCCACTCATCTTTCTCTCTAGTGCGAAACCAGCTCTTTCGGCAGCATGCAAGTGTGCCCCATAAAAAGGTTGGTACCTTGGCAAGCAAACTACTACTCTGCAATAGCACTATGGTCTCCTGACTATTGTAACAATGTCCTACGCTAATAATAATAATTGCTTCCAATGACCAGAGTGGTTTTACTGCAACTATTACTGGAGATTTGTTCTTTTCTCCACTTTGTTCCCAACAGTGAGGACAATTAACCAGTGGAATTGCTTGTCTTCAGAAATTGTAGGGGCTTCATCACTGGAGGTTTTTAAGAAAAGACTGGACAGTCACCTATCTGAAATGGTATAGGGTCTCCTGCTTCAGCAGGGGGCTGGACTAGAAGATCTCCAAGGTCCCTTCCAGCTCTGTTCTGATTGATTGATTCTGTTGGTTCAGTTTTCATAGCTATACATTGGAACTGGAAGGCCATAGCAATATATAACATAAGTATATGTAGAGATAGAAACTGAAGATCCAAAAGACAAAGTTTATTAAAACTTACAGACAGCTTGCTTCTCTAACCTCTTTGTCTTCATGGTGTGTCTCTGTATGTGCCTTTAAGTCAATTTTAACTCCTGGGCACTGGACAAGACCCTGCAGTTTTCTTGACAAGGTTCTTTGGAAGTGGTTTGCTATTGTCTCTTTCCTATTGTGAGAAAAAGTGACTAGCTGAAGATTATTTGCCTGGTTTTGTGCCAGGATTAGAACTTCTAGTCTCCTTATTTCTAGCCTGATGACTTAACTTCTACACCAAATTATCTTTCTTATACTGAATAGAAGGAGAAAAAAATATTTTATCTTCTTGTAGGAAGCAAATGAATTCATTTCCCTATGAATGTCAAGGGAAATCAAAGGAAACACTTTGGTCACCTACTACAAAAAAGATGTTGAGGCCTTGGAAAAAGTTCAGAGAAGAGCAACTAAAATGATCAAAGGCCTGGAGACTAAAACATATGAAGAACGGCTGCAGGACTTGGGTTCAGCTAGTCTAAAGAAAATAAGAAATAGAAGTGACATGATAGCAGTATTCCAGTATTTGAGAACCTGCCACAAAAGAGAGGGGGTCAAATTATTCTCCAAAGCACCAGAGGGCAGGACAAGAAACAATGGTTGGAAACTGACCAAAGAGAGAAGCAACCTAGAATTAAGGAGAAAGTTCCTAACAGTGAGGACAATTAACCAGTGGAACAGCTTGCCTTCAGAAATCGTGAGCACTCCATCCCTGGAGATTTTTATGACAGTCACTTGTTTGAGATGGTATAGGTTCTCCTGCTTGAGCAGGGGGCTGGACTAGAAGACCTCCAAGGTCCCTTCCTTCTACCCATAAACTGCCTGGAAATAAAACTAACTTTTAAAAAAAATCCTTTCTGGATTTTTACATTCACTGTAGCCATGATGAGACATTTGTTCAGATTGCATTTCCCCTGGCTCTCAATTCACAGATTTACTTGCTTCTTTACTCCTTCCATCCCTGTAAGGAGAGCAAATTCCAATCGCTTTCTTTCTGGGTTGGGGGTCTTGGAGAATATGTGGTTTCCCCTTTTTATCAATAGACCTTTTGCATAAGATCCCCTTCCACTGCTTCTCCCTTGTACTTGACACTTTCTTGTGTGTCTTTTGGCAACTTTTGGCACCTTTGTCCCATCACATCAGCCTATCCCACCTGGTCAGGTAGGGAAGGTATGCTGCATACCGAGTCAGTTACAAAAAATTAGCTGGCAGGATTAAAGAAAAGAGCCTTCTCTGCTATTGCTCCTGCCCTTTGTAACATTCTCCTCCCACAGGTAGAGCTGTCCCCACTTTCCTGACTTTTCTGAATTTATTTATTTATATTCCATCTTTATTATTTTTATAAATAACTCAAGACATGAATGTCTTAAGATCTGGCTCTGCCATCTTGTTTTGGCCTCACAGAAGAGCATGCAGCTGGGGTTGGTTAGTGCCCTGAAGAACTTTCTCCTGCCTTTTAATAAACTTTTAATGTCAAATTTTAACTGTTTGTGCCTATACTCTAAATTTTTATTTTATTTTTATGTTTTTAACATTTTATTTGTGCATCTCTCAGACTTCCACTGGAAGGGAGATGATCAATTTCTAAACCTGATAAATAAATAATAGTAAATGTGTGCCCCTTTCCATTTTCTATACATATTTTGTTTTTGTTTTCAGATATTGATAACTATTTTGTTCAATTTCTTCAACTGTCTTCCATTTTTTCCCCCCGTTCATTGAAACTCTCTGAAACTATCTTTTTGGTATTGATTTTTTGCAAGAATTTTCTACCTATCTTGAATAACCTTTCCCTTAGCTTCACTTGCCATAGAATCCTTCCACAAAATAGTTACGACTGTCTTATCACCAAGATAGTCAGACAAATAAAAGTAGAAAAAATGTGCCCACTATTCAAGTTATGACTGTGTTTGCTGAAGCTGTAG